AAAGAGTTTTCCAAAAGGCTTTGAAGGAGACTTCTAACGTTGCTTAATTTTAGAACAACTTTGTTTTTCTATTTTCCTTCCACATTCTCTTGAGTCCAGTCTAGCTACTTCGTTAATAAATCAGAAAGGAGAATCCCTTGCAGTGACAATTTTGTCATTACTGTATTGCCTGCCTTCCCCAGAAACGTGGTGGGAGCGTGTATTATAACTGGTTATGATGTGGAAAAAGACACAGAAAATAGCTCTAAATACGAAGCAAGAGTTTTGTCAAGGGACTTTTTTGTGGCCATATGCTTAATTTGAGAGACCCTGCAGATATTATTTTCATTATTGCAGAAAATGGATGTCTTGTTCATAGATGAAATTGTCTGCTGCTGAGAATGTTAGCTGCCCAAGACAGAAAAAACAGTTCAGTTCTCTGGTTTGAACTCGGTGCTATGTGCTTAGTGCTAATGAGGAAAAAAGTGTGTCTGCTGGGGGAAATGGGTTATTCTGTTTTGTCTGGAGCACGAGAAAAATTTTAAAAACCCCAAAAGGAAAGTAAATAATTGTTTGGGGGAGTTCAATGTTTTTAAACAAATGTTTTATTTCAAAATTCAAATTAAAGATTGTAAAATAAGAAATAAAAATGCTAGGTCAGAGAAATGTTGGTTATATAATAGGACTTCTTGCTTTGCAGAAATTTTTGAGATTGTATACTTCATCCTGTCTGGTATACTATGGGAAATACTTTTATCACATAATTATTTTCCTGTCTGGGAAAAACCTTCCTGCCTTAATTTACATCTGAGTAGCCTCCACTGTCAGCCAAATGCTTCAGAAAATGTTCATTAATACATACAATTAAAAAGTTGTATGTTTCCAACATATGAGACTTAAGCCTTATGATAACACGGGAAACCTTTTATCTTCTCTAATTCTGTCTCCATTCATAATTAGGGACAGGATCTGGTCTTGGAACTTTTGTACTAAATTTGCTTGAGGATGAATTCCCAGAAGTATATAGATTTGTCACTTCAGTTTATCCCTCTGGTGAAGATGATGTTATTACTTCTCCATATAACAGTGTTCTGGCTATGAAGGAGCTTAATGAACATGCAGACTGTGTGCTACCAATAGAGAATGAAGTAAGAAATAATATTGTATTTCTGTCAACTTCTTTTTTATTAGACTGCACATAAGAAGTGTTTCTTCCTTCTGTGTATTGATTTGAGTGCCAAGTCTTAAAAAGCATAATTTCATTTTTTAAAATAATAATTGAACTCCTAAGTCACTTGCAGGCTTGTGAAATTAATATGGGTATCACTAAAAAGTTGCTCTGCACCTTCAAAGTAGGCTAGAGTGAATTTTTTCATGTCTATTTCAAGGTAAACAGTGAAAAACTTCTATTTACTGAGGCAAGAGTCTTGTATTCTTTTAGCAATCAGTTTGTGTGTAGTATTAGTAGAGTCCTGCAAGGGAAATGACTAACCACTCCAAAATACTCATTAGTGATATGGGCATCATAAGCATACCTGACCACACAAACCACTAGATTCATTTGAATCTAACTTTGATGACTCTCTTGCTGTTTGCTTATGAAAAAAAGCAAGAGAAAGTGAAATATATTTGGAGAATATATTTTTCCTTTCACAGGAATTATGAGAATTTAAAATGTAATTTTAGAAGATGAGGATTTTGAATAGTTTAATAAAATTCAAACTTCTGAGTCAAGCTGTGTACGTGTTTGTGACGTGTAAGGAACAGACTTTTAGAAACACTTCAGTCAATTGGAATTGGTCAAAAGTTGGACTTGCATGTATAAAAGGTATAATCTTTGAACTAACAGTACTGTGTCTTAGCTTTTTCTTTAAGATTAATTGAAATGAAAAATTGGGGTACTGAATTTGAAAGCTGTGTGCTCAAGACTTCTTGTTTGCTTTTTTCCTCCCCTCTCTCAAAGTCTCTGTTTGATATAGTTAATAAAATTCATCAGATGATCAATTCTGGAAAGCTAGGGTCAACTGTGAAGCAAAACAGCTTGGTAACATCAAGTGCAGGCAGTGCAAAAACTGTACGAG